ATTCGATTTATAGTTAGAGATGTCATTTTCTGAACCTAAAGTTCCTATCATGATCATTATATTTTTGTTTGATCCTTTATTGTATAATAATATGTGATTTATTATTTTTTATATTAAAATATTTGAATTTTTTTGTCTTTTTTTTGGATATTTAAGTATGTTTATAATTTTTTAATATAAATTAAAATTGCATATAATTACCGGATCATGCGGTTGAGCCAATGACCCACTGGTTGAATCAGTAACCTAGTACCTTGACCGGATCAATGACCGGGCCGGTTTTATTAACATTGCTATCAAGAATTTTGACTGATTTTTTTCCTTAAAAAATTTATGTCAATGATTAGAACAAAATCTTATTCCGTCTCTAATTTCGTCTCTAGTTTCGAAGTAAATTTTTTCCGTCTCTATTTTCGACGTAATATGATTTTTGTCATAATTTTCATCATTATTTTCGACGAAATATTTTCTGTCGATAAATTCTATCAGTATTTGAGAGTTTTCTAATAGTGTCACATTTAAAAATGATTCATATTTATGTAGTTTTCAAATTTTAGTGCTAAGGGTAAATAAGTAATTTTCAATATTTCCTCCCTCAAACCTCCAAATTGGAGAAATTTTAATTTTAAGAGTGAGAAGGGTTTTAGAGGATTTGGTTTCTTTCCCTTTTTTTTTAAACTCACAAATAATGGAAGGAATTAATAAAATTCTCCTCTTTCTTCCCTTTTTCTTCTAAAATTAACTTCTAAATAAAATTTAAAATTTTGGGTTGAATTGATTCTTTACTATTTGTATTTAAAGGAGGCACGAATTTCCTAAACTCCAGTCACATGTCACAACTCATAAGAAAAGCTAAAAAAAAGGACGGCTTTCTTTTTATTTACCCGCGTGCACATGCAAATTCACTATAGCCATCAGTAACTTAATGAACTCTTATTTAGTTAAACACGTCACGTATAGTAGCTGCACAAATTGAAGCCCGCCAGAGAGCTATAAACAAAGGCTTCTGAGCTTAATCCACATATATATAATAATAACAAAAGTTTCGTTAAAGCTTAAGTTAAAATATGAATAGCTTCGCTCTGTAAAGTAAAAGGGAATATCCATAAGCCAGAACAAACAGGAGAGAATAATCCTACAACATAAAACCAAACACTTCAAAATTTACCTGTGAGTTAGCACATGCATTATACAAATATAACGATAATTAGGCACCGAAACAACAAATTAATATTGATCCGTGATTGAGGCCCAATAGCCAGGACTCGCCCTAGCACGGACAACAGCTAGCGACAGGTTTCCTTTACTCATCTGTTTTTTTTTTTTTTTTTTTTTGGGACATCTTATTTATTTTATATGTAATTATTAATAAAATATAGTAAAAACATATGTTGATATTTGTTTTTTTATTCTATATTTTTTAATATTGAATAATTATTTTAATGTTTTCATTTAAAAACTAATCAATCAATATCTAAAATTTTAAATTTTAGAGGCTAATTTTTATTTGGGATAGGTTATTATACCTATCATTTTTTCTTCTTACCTTTGTCTATCACTTTAAAATATCATTATATCATAATCTTAACTAATAATTATCTTTCTCTCTCCTCTTAAGATTCTTATCTAACGGTATTGGACGGTGATAAACAAAAGTAGACAGAAAAAATATAGGTAAAATAACTTATCTTTTTTTTATTTTTTATAATAATAATTTTTATTGTGATGTACATCACTTACATACTTCGCACACCTTAAATTATACACTGGACACAGATCCTCTAAAGCAGGGATTTTTTGGATATGAAACTTTCTCTTGCTTATACTCTCTCCCTAACATTGCGTCAAACACACTCTCCACCTTCCTCCTCGGTAATTGTAATATACTGCAAATCTCACCTCACTTAACACCCTAGCCGACCTTCCGAGCGATGATGCTTCGTGGCAAATACAAAATTAAAGTTTTAAACCAATTCTATTTGATAACTCTGCTTCGACCTTGAACTCAACGTTTCATGAGATATATAAAACTATTAATGTAGACTCACCTAACAGTTTAAGTTTTTGTGTTGAATTAGTTCTTTACACAGTTTCAGTTTCAGAGCCTTGTGTCCCGGGTTCGATCCTTGCCGCCCCCACTTTCTTTCAAGTGAAATTTTTTTATTCGCACAGCGTGTGAGCATGTGCATTGTCTACCCTTCAAATCCTCTCGTGTGAGAAACATGTTGAGATATATAAAATCATTAATATAGTCTTAACCAACAACTTAAACTTTTGGATTGAATTAATTCCTTTAGGTAGTGGATTCACTCTATAACATAATTATTATTGACGACAAAAATCAAACTAAAGAATTGTAGCTTTTCATCAAATTTAAAAATCCACAACTTAATTTATTGAATTTGGAGTGACTTTCTGTACTTACGTCTGATTATGACACTAACTAGCATGTAAATTCATCGAACTTTACTCTGCCTTTAGACCTGACAGACGTGTTTCATTGGCCAATTGCATTTCTTAAATTCATTCAGAATGACCGCACACACCGTTTCCAAGAACAAGACAGCCGACCATGGCCCACTCTATTTGTGTGTGAAAGGTGCAAATTCCAAAGATTAAAATATGCGATACCTTTCGATTGTGATTCATTCTTCTTCACCTTCATAATGACTAAAAATCTAAAATATAAATACCTTATTGACAGTTTTTTTATATCGTTTAGCGAAGGATGTAGAAATAGTAGGGGTAGAATCTCAACCTTATACCATTTGGATTTTGTGTTTACATGAATATTCAACTGTTTTTCCTTATTAAAAATTTAAATAATGAGTGTTCGTATGTCATAGGCATGAAGTGGATGCTTTTCAAGTTCAGAGAACGATGGTATATATAATTGTTTTATTTGGTTGTTTAGCAGATTAAATTGAATCGGACCGGACAAAGTTATATTCAAACAACTTTTAAACCAAACCATAAGAAAGAATTGCAAAAGAAACACCGTCAGAACTTGTGGGAATGACCTTCAATTAAAAACAAAATCCAAAAATAGGAAGAGATACCCACCCAATTAATAGTGACACCAAAAACAGCAAAATGCACAAAACAGAGAATGCGCACAAATACCAGCAGGTGTAATGACTGGTGCTCCTTTGGTTTTGGTTAGTTGCTTGAAATAATAGAACGACACTGTAGCAGAAGTTCATGTACGATCTTCGGTCATAGTTGAAAATGCAAACAGACTAAACATGAAAAAGTACGGTTTCGAAAAAAATAATTGGCAAATATACAATCGAGTTTCATAGAATTCAAGAAAAAATAAATGCATTACTAAATTAGGATGATAAATATGTTATGCCGAAAGAATCAATTCTACCTAAAAGTTAAATTAAGAAGTGAAAGTTAATTAATAGTTTTTATATTATATTTCTCTAATACACTCTATCATTCAATAGTTTTTTGGGCTTGAAGTATAAATTTTGCACAAATTAATTTTTTTTTTTATCTTGTGTTGTCTTAATTTTACTAAAAAATAAAGTGCGATGATGATTGAACTCGTGATACCATAACCTATAGATTTAAGCTTAGGGGAAAAATAAAGAGAGAATATGTACTAAAACAAATAAAGAGTAAAGAGAGAATGATGGCTAACAATATATAATCAGTAAAATGTCACACAAATATAATAACCTGTTACATCTATTTATACTAGTAATTAAGCATTAATATTGTTAGTACAAGTCTAAAGTTTACTACTAATCATTATAATATATTCTAACATAAGTATTTATTTATTTTATTGTATGCTTCGCATTTAAAACCACTGAGTATGCTTATGTACTACAAAAAAAAAACCACTGAGTATGCTTGATTCCATGCTGCCTAATCAAGAAAAGAACATTTTATCCGGTATAATAATTGGGGTCTATGATGACCCTCTATTTAATTTATATGAATATGGGGTCTATGAACTCATCATCCCCCAACGCAAATATCTTCAAGTTTATACTGATTTAGCATCGGAGTATATTCAACGTCCAACTCACTCTCCTAATTTTCTCATCAGTAGTTTTAGCAACACCATTACTGTTAGAGAATAATATAAATTATCAAAAAGGCCTTCACCCAACACCAGAGCTTCAGTGACCACAAAGTCACGAGTTCGATTCTCACTGTCCCCTACTTTTGAATGGAATTAAAATAAAAAAAAGCACAAGGTAAAACAAAAAATATTGGGCATGTGCAATATCCACACTTCAAGCCCAAAGAGCTATTGTGTGAGTGAGTGAGTGTGTTAGAGAATAATATAAATCATTAAAAAAGTCATCACCTAACCTCTTAAGATTTTGAGTTGAAGTAATTTTTTACTATTACCAGCTAATTGACTTATCTTTCAACTCAGTACAAATTATTCATGCATATATGCTATTACCGTTTCGTACAATCGTACACCAAGCAATAAAAAGAGTTCCTATGATATGGTATTATAGGTGAATTATCAATTATTTGTTTTTATTAATTATAATCAACAAGTAACAAGTAATTGAAAATTTACCTTAAGCACTGGTATCCTTAAAAAAAAGGGTACCAAAATAATTCTTAACAATAAAAATGACATGAGATTTTATTAGTTTATGATCATATCCAACCTTAAGATACTCTTTCATGTTTGATAATGCTGTTTTGCTACGCGTGGAAAGTAATAACAATTAGTTCCTCTAGCCAATAGAGCATATTTTCTGTGTTGCGAGATTAGATACTCCCTTTATCAAAAATAAAAAATAATGAAATATGAGTAAAAATAATTATAAAGATAAAAAATAAGGAGACGGATTGGACTATCGATGATCTATGGGCCGAGCAAAAGTAATATATATTATTTTGATGATCGCCATATAATGGGCCCGATTGGTCTTGTAACAATTAAATTGGGCCTGGCCCATATCCAGTCCATATGCTAAACCCTATAGAAACAAGGGGTTAATTCATTGCATTGCACTGAATTGGATTGAGTTGCAGCTGAACAAGCGAAGGATGTCGGTTCTGCTTTCTCTTGCAGTTCCTTCAACTTCAAAGTTTCGGCAGGTATGCTTTTTATTCTATGCCTTGTTACGAACTCATAACTCCTTGCATTAGGATGATTTATACTTTTACTGTGATAAGATTAGAGAGAAATGCTATTGAGTAGTGTATTTGATGACTGATTAGCCATTTGCCCTAACAAGAGAAATCGGAACTAAGACTTGAAGATACACATTTGATTCAGAAAGATACAGAAGTTTTGCTTGGGATAAAGTTTCAAAGAAAAAAAAAATATATAGAAACACCACTTAAGTTGAGAAACTGGAAAGACATGAGAAACGGTTGAGATTTAATTAGGCTGAACTTGTAAAGAAACACTTCAACTCAAAACCTTCAGGTATTAGGTGAGTGTTTTTTTAATGATTTATATTATTCTCTAATACACCCCCTTACACAAGAGTGCTTTGAACTTGAAGTGTGGATATTGCACAGGCTCAATTTTTGGTTTACCTTCTTTTGTGCTTTTTATTTAATTCCACAATTGGGAGGGGTGAGGATCGAACTCGTGACCTTGTGGTCAGTTACTCTGTCTCCACTTTGGGTCAAGAACAGGGTCAGAGGGGTCAAAAACTGCTAATTCATATAGAGCCATCGAACCGGCCCAACCTGCAACCAGAGCTGTATGCATTATATGAACAGAAAGTAAACGGTCGGGATCATTTAATACAACGGTATGAACACGATGCCAAGGCAAACCCATGAAAATACCTCTTATATCAACAAAAAATAGACACTATGTAACTTTATTGCACTGGAAAATACTATATTATGAAGCTCTGATACCATGTAAAGAACCACTTCAACCCAAAACCTTAAGGTATTAGGTGAGCTTAAGGTATTAGGTGAGGGCCTTTTTATTATTCTCTAACAGAACTATTGAGTCCTGCTTTGTATCTTGAACAAATTCAAGCAAAACACGTAGTAATTTGGAAAAGACATAAAAGAGAAGACTGAAGAAGTGCTGTTATGCTCTGTTTTCTTGAATATGTTATGTGATTCCATGTTCCATCAATACAATCCATGGTCTTTGTCTGTTCATGTTACTCTACGAGAAAGCATAAATGTTCACATAGACACATTTTACAATAAACCAAAAGCATAGAATATATATTAGCCTCAGCATCACCTTTATTCCAAACTAGTTGGGCTATGCCTTCAATGAACCCAAATAACATATTATTTTACATAATACATATATTACGCCTTTTACATGTGGCTATATATATTTAATGTCCAAGGGATTCCACTCAAGTTGTAGTTCCACCAATTGATGAATTATGATATTACTTATCAGGATGGAAATGTTAGGAATTTGCCAACTGACATCATCCCAATGTTCATTCATTTTTAGCAATATCTTCTCTTCTTTGTGTAGGTTAAGCTGTTTCAATGCCAACCCTGTCAATTCCATAGATGCTCAGAAATATATCTTCACAATCAAACACTTCATAAACGTACCTGTTCAATTAAAGTATCAGTGGCAGACGATAATGAGCCTAATGGGGTTAAGACGCAGATTGGAATCATGGGGGAGAAACTCAGAGAAGCAATGCCAATCTCAGTCCAAGAATTTCCTTGGAGAAAAGCTGAGCATATGCTTCTAAACAGACTAGTTTTTCTTGCACAAGAGGCAGTGAAGTGGTCTCTCATTTTATTTTTCATCTTTAGCTCTTTATCGGATGCTGTATATACATTCTCTATAAATCGTGAACTGATGATTCCCGTTGGCCTCTTTGTTGGCTGCCTTATGGCTGATTTCTTGAAGGAGATATCACAAGAATTGTTTCATAGATACGAGGTATATTTTGAATTTGTTATGTTATTCTCCGACAGTTCCATGCTCAGTTTCCTTGTTCCTTTGCTTTATTACAATATATTAATGAACTTGCTTTTGCTGTATCTGCACATGGTTTGCTACTTGACAGGAAAAAGATATGAAATGGCATCTTCTGGGCATGTATTGCCTTTTTGTGTTTGTCAAGTCTATGTCGACATGGTTTGTAGCACAACCACGGGTGTTTCTTTTGCATGTTGCAAATGGTGGATTGATGCAGGTTTTGTGGTATTTGAGATGTTTTATGGAAGATGCAAAGAACAAACAGGAAAAGAGTAACCCCTCTGGTTTGGAGGCTTCATGATAGATGCATGGAGAATTTTTAAGTTTTCTGGCACATCTTTATGAGGAGCTGATATGAACTGTATTTTCTACAAATATCTAGCCCATGGGATCTGGTAATCTTTCTACCTGTTTTAGCAAATCCTTTATGAATATCATCCAGCAGCAACTAACCACTTTCAATCATCTTGCTCATGTGAACTGGTTATTTTTCTCGGCTTATTCAAGTAGATGCAACAGACCCAAAGGAGCAAGTTATAAGCACCATGTAACACACAATAGATGAAGAGCGACTTATTCTGTTTTGTTTGTCGGCATTGCCATTTAACTATCAAGAAAGATAATACTTTTCTTTCTTTGTTTTTCTTCCTTAAAATTCATTCAAATAATAGCCCATCCAAGGAAAGAAATAGATCTATTAAGAAAATAGATACAAATTTTCAACCAAGACTTCTTGAAACCTACCGGTGATTACACATTTATCACTATAGAGAGCAGTACTCATGCAAAAAAGGGTATTACGTTCCTTATGTCAATAAATACGAGGTTTATTGATCTGTAAGGTCAGAGTATGAGATTAATTTGATAAATCCAAAGTTAAAAGTTTAGATTTTAATTGAATATGAGATAACTTTGAGATTTTCAAAATTAAATTCTTTCACTATATCAAAAAAATAATAGATGCTAGTGTAGATAGGTTTATTGAAAAACTATGGTAAAACGAGAAAAAAGAAATGGAGAAGGCCACTGCCAAAGGCGTGGTGGCACAAGCCCTCCATTCGAGAAACTTGAAGAAAAGGACCAAAATCTTGCAAAGAAGGAAACACTTCAAAATAAAGAGTCCATTAGCGGTGTTTGGTACAGTAGATATCTTTTATTTTAAGGGAAAAAAAGATTTCTGAAAATATGGTGGGAAATATTTTTTTCTGGATAAGCTGTGAAAAAGTGTTTGTTAGGCCAAAATAATTATCCGGAAAGTTGGGTTAATTTTATTAATATTATGTTTAGTTGATGGTAAAATATTGATGGAAATTTAAATCAAAATGATAAAATTATCCATCATTTTGACACATCTGTTACTGTTATTGTCTTATCAGGACATTTTTATTCTTATCAGGCATTTACTGAATGAAAACATGTTTCCTGATGTGGGAAAAAAACAATCCCATGAGTAATGTGTGATTTTTTTTTTTTGCCAATGCTCACTTCAAAACCATATTGATGGGAAATAAGTTTTTTTTTCTTTTACTCATACCAAACATGGTAAGCAAATTTTTCCCACCCCATTTTCCCATCATTTCACCCAAAATCTATATACGAAACAGCTTAGGGTCAGCTTTAGTGAAGGACTGACATTCTTTCTTTAAGTGGTGTCACATTGATTTGTATTGTTTTTGGTACACCATCAACTTAAATATAATAGGAATAGATGTAAAAAAACTATGGAAATTAGGACGAATGTCTCTTGTTCCCCGCCACTGGAATTAACTTAGCTGCTCATGATTGAGTTTCTTTTCAAGTGTAGCTAAGTAAATTCTGCTACTTCTAGGATTGTATTTCATCCATGTGCTTTATCGCAATTTATAAATGTTCTTTTTAATAGTTTTTGTAGTGAATACTTCGGTACGCTATTCATCTGAGAGATTCGAGTTGCGTGAATCTGTAGCTCTTTTTACAATAAAACTAATGTAGAGGAATATGGGTTGATATTTATTTTCCTTGGATCTAATCTTCTGTTTTATCTTGTTAGCGTGTGCGGGTGTAAACTAATAGATAAAACAGGAAATAAGAACCTGTGTTGAAGAAAACAGAAAACATGAAACAACAATGAAGAACATGCAATATAGGAAATTCACGATGCTGTAAATATTGACAAATGCACAAATTCCAAGTTTAACTGGATTTGTTCCCTTAAGAGGAATTTGAAGAACCTGTAATAGAGGAAATTCATGAATGTTGTGAATATAGACAATGCACAAATCCAAACTTAATCGGAGGTGTTCCTGGGCGGGCAAAACGGGTTTGACGGACTGACCCGTCACGCGATTTTTTTTTTGGCAAGTGTATGACCGGAAGAGGCGGGCAGTGAAAAACAGATTCGCGTTTGCAGGCCAATCCGCCTTGCCGGCCAAATGGGACGGGACGGGTCGAATTTTTTAGCCCACTTTAAAAATAGGACGGGACGAGCTGAATTATTTTTTGACGAGTTGATGGTAGGACGGGGCGAGCCGCCCACTTTGCCACCTCTACTTAAAACAAATTTGTACTCTTCACTGGTGCTGAAGAGAATAGTGGACAATTGTCGTGATAGAATAAAATCATCTCAAGAAGAGTGACACTATCTATTAGGAAAGCTGATAGATACAATTGAATACTTGGATTTGATCACACAAGGTATGAATGTTTTAGAAAAATTTCGACAGAATGACGGTATGGTTAGGAATCACAAAATTGAGGCGATTTTCTAAAGCTCTTGGTCCTATATATAGATATCGAACAGATACTGGAAGCACGCTAGTTTGGCAGCGAAATGGTGCCCGCGAACCGTCACGTTCCATTGCAACAGTTGAGGGATAATTGTTGGAGACATTGTAGGAATTTTTCAGATAAGGCATGGGCATTTTAGAACAAAAATAGTAATAATTTTAATAAGATTATTTTTCATGGGTGACAACAATTGATTGTGTCTCACTTATGTCCTCACTCTTCACAAAAGTGGAAAGCCCCGAGAGATAATCTAGGAGAGTGAAGCTAGACCTTATAAAGTCTGCTCCATCTCTCTCAATTTTCAATTTCTTATTCATCATCAGAGAAGACACCCACAGATTCTCATGTATCTTTCCAATCATGTCTTTTAGATAAAATATTTTTTCTCTTCATAAAAATATAATCTTAATTTGGCAACGCCTCTCTTTTAAGTGACACTTTTTTCAATAGTATCATATCAGAGATATTGAAGACAAAGAAAATTTCTTTACTTTCTCATAAAACAGATAGAGGAGTATTATCAAGAAATAAGTACGCCTTCCATACACAATTTTACTAGGCATTTATTATAATTATTATTTAGAAGCTACATCACATGATTAATTTACACCAATGTAAGAATTAAAAATATTACACTCAATTTTAGCCATTAATTTGTGTTCATCTGATAGTTATAATTTATCGAGAATTAATAATTAATTAATTAATGTATTCTCCCAAATTGTTGAATTTAAATATTTGTTCCCTTCAGTTTAAAACGAGGTTAATCTTTCAGATACTTTTCCGAGGCTTCTCTTTGGAGATTTTTTGTGAACCTGACAACTATAGATTTGCTCTCTCCACAAGCTGTCTATCGTCCCCATTTACCACCAGAAGAAATTCCAACCTTGATCATTTCCAGGTGAGTTGTTTTGCTTCTTTAATATGTTTTGAAGTCAATTAACAAGTGGAATTTTTTTTTTTTTTTTTTTTACAAACTAGTTCATAACTGCTATTGATTTAATCCTAATAGAGTTTCAAATATCTATATCTCCAACTTCTCTTTATGACTATTTAGACCAAGGGACCTAAAGATGCATACTTGACAATCTTTTATTATTTTCCTACTGACAAAGCGAATGAGCTCACATATCCTTTGCCAGCAAAGGAATCTTCCAAAGCCAGAACACTGTTTACACTTACACACTAAGCCAACCTTCATTTCCTTCAAATTTGGTCAGAACTTCTCCTGATTCAAGTACTCCAGTTATTCCAAGTGTGAATATCATCCCTAGTACATGCACTAACTTGATTCATGAACACCCTCAAGTGTCATCCAGACCTGTTGCTTGTGGTAATTTCTTAAAATCACTAATATTTAAGATGACTGAAAATAATGTTTTTGTGTAATGGATCATGTTTTTCTGATCATGAATTCCCTTTCTGTATAGATCTGTTAATTGCTAGGAAGGCTTCTCTTCATCAGTTCCTGGACAATTTTTTTTTTCCACCCCCTCTCAAATAAATTTCTAGGTCCGCCACTAGGTAGAACCTAATAAATAACAACCATAAGATGCACTAGATTAACGATTAAAAGTGGATGTAAAATTTATTATTCTTATTTCTTACACCGATATAAAAGTAATCTGTTACTTTTCTTTGAACTGCTAAGCATATTTAGTGTCTATTTGAATCCTCTCTTTTTTAGGTTAGAAATTACTTATAAGCTAAAGCTAAAAAAAAAACTTAAAAAAAAATTATAAGTTGTTTAAAGACTACTTAAAATTTTTAGCTTAAAAATGACTTAAAAGCACATATTTCAATAAAACTCTCTTTTTCTCTATCTCTATAGCTCTTCATTTCCAAAAAATTACACATAATCCAAGAAAAGTATATAAGAACTTAAAAAAAAGCCCTCGTAGAAGCTTTTGGCTTTTAGTTTTTTTCTTCATTATAAAAAAAGAACTTGTTATTATAAGAGTTTTTCTCAGAACCTATTTAGCCTATTCTGCTTATATGTAGGGTGTTTGCGGTCTGAATTGGATCGATTTTAGAAGCAAAAATCATCTGATCCAATCTCTTCGGTTTGATCATGTATTCATTCATTTGGTTTGGATTTTTTTAAATCCGATCCAATCCAACTCAATTTTTTTCGGTTTGGATTGGATCGGTTTTCGATTTTTGATTTTTTGAAAATCCTAAAATTTGTTTCATGATTATTGTGCAAATAACATATTTTGTATATATTGGCTTTGTAATATTATTATTTTTTTTAAATACAAAATCATCAGTAAACGATAATATAATTTATTTATTTTTGGGCAATGAGATATGAAGCTGTGGACAGATAAAATTTTGTTGATGAGATGTGACTAGGTTTTTTCTTGAGTTTAGTTGATGGGTTAATGGATCTTGAGTTTAGAAATTTTTGGGTTGTGATCGGGAAAAAACCCAAGTAGGTAGAGGGGGATTAATATATTGGATTGGATCAATTTTCATCAACCCATCCGAAAATCTATCCAATCCAATTAAAATTTACAGTTTTTTTTCGATTTTCGATTTTCCGGTTTTCGGTTTATTCGGTTATCGGTTTTTCGGTTCGGTTACCGCGGTTTGAATCAGTTTGAATCGGTTGATAAACACCCCTACATATAAGTAACTTTTAACTTTAAAAAAAAATCCAAACAAACACTTACCTGAAAACTTTTTGGAAGTCATAAACTCCGTGAACAGGAAACTAAGTGCATGGAAAGATCAACGGTTGTTCGGTTGTCTCCTTAGGAAGTCATAAACTCCGTGAACAGGAAACTTAGTGCATGAAAAGATCAACGGTTGTTCGGTTATCTCCTTGGGAAATTTGAATTGTCAAATTATTGATACCCACAACGGTCAATTCTCCTCACCGGAAATATCTTCAATATTACAAGAATAATGAAGACTCTGTGCATCATTTACTTAATTTGAAAAATATAATACATATTTTTTATTATTTTATCTTTCTTTGTATGGTTATTTTCTCTAAAATCATCACACTTTTCTATTTTTAGTAAAGGAATACATACTCCATTAACACCAAAGATGTGATCCTCCTCATCAACCACCCTTAGCTTTTTTCTAAATGTCTGCAATTAAATTATATTTTTATTTAAATGAAATTTTAATTAATTATATTTTCATTTGTCTATTCACATTTAATTGAAGATAATTTAAAAATTATTTACAATTAAAAATAGCTAATGAACAATGAATCAAGGGACCTTCATCTTCACCTATAATTTTTTTTTTTTTTCTTCATGAATGGCACTTTTAGTGCACATCAGGATGATTCTTATACAATGTTACGAGCCGAACACTTATTTACTTTCCATCAAGTACCGCTTTATCAGAACTCGAACGATGAAGAGACCATGATCTGTCTTTTTTACCAAGTTCCTTGCCTGAAAAGCGAAAGAAAAAACCGCATAGACAAGTTATTAAAGAATTCGTAAAAAGTGGAATTCCAACCGTTGGATAAAAAGCAAGCCTTTCTCCAAAAAAAAAAAAAAACACACCTTTCTCGATATCTTCTGAAGACTGAGCAGTCCCTTTGTCCTCGTGATGACTCAAGCATTCGGATTGACTCGAGGCATGCGGCATTAAACCGAATTGGTTGTAGGCAGAATGCAATTGTTCATAAATCTCTTCCATCCTTCCAAAGTGCTCATCTTTCCGATCCATGTCAATAAGAACCTAAAACAAACTGAATTTAGAGAGGCCAATGAGAGAAAAGGGAGGAGAAGTGGGAAAGGGAGGTTTACCTGTGCTGAATTGCCCCTAAATACTGGGATAAATCGTTGCCTACAATACTGGTGAAATAGAAGGGTACCAATCAGCAGCGGAATGGTGAATCCAGATGCAACTGGTGAGCGTTTTAGTCCAAACACCCCAAGCGCGATAACTTGAGCAAATATCAATGAAAATACCGTTGTGTTGTGAGCAATGGGCCAAAACTGTCCCCCACTGTCGTATTTTGTAACGTACACGTTGAGAATCTAAAAAGGGCCGATGTTAAACAGAAGCTTTTTCTAAAGGTTAAAAATAAATCAAGGAAACATTAAGTGGCTGCATGGTATATTTTGGTTAGCAAATTATCCTAGAAACAAATCGAACGTGATCCCATTTCATTGCATGCATGGATGTAGGTGTACATCACCTTTTATTTATTTATTTTTATTTTTATTTTTTTATTTGCCATCTGTTTCGCTGTAGCTAGAAAACTGAAGCGACTAGGAGGAATCAAAGTCTACATACAGCCTGAGAAACAAGCCAGACAGTTTCTGATTTCTGAAACTTGCATTCAAGACCTTAACAAAATATAGTAAAACGAAAATGATATTCCATGATCAAATCATGCATATAATCAACAACTTTCAGTCTGATCTTTTCAGTCAAAAGGAAGAATGAGGTTCCATGCGAGCTTCCTTTAATAATTCCATCATAATTCATAGTATGATAGTTTCGTTTGTGAAAACAAGGTCACATGAACTATGCTGCAACCTCCCCCTTTCTTTCTATATCTCTCTCACAAAAAAAAAAAACAGTATGTTGCAATCCCTTACCTCACCTTATTCCCCAATAATTAATCATTTAAACCTAACATCACATAAATTGTTGGGATAACAATCACTACTCAAATCTAGTAATTATGTATGGCCAAGTCTATTAGATATTAGCACCTAAAATAAAATACAACAAAAGAAATAAAAAGAACTCCATACATAAAATAGGGAAGTTTTTATGCATAAAGGAAAGAATTAAGCGCAATGAACTCCATAATGAGGAAAAGAGAAGACAAACACATGATAGAAATGCTAACCTGGTTTCGGTAAACAAGATAAGCAAGGAAAAAGTAGATCAATAAGAAGGGCAACATTAGGGGTGCCAGAATAGAACAGGTGAACCCAAGGAATCCAAATAGTAAGATCCTTGGAACTTCTGTATGGTATGGAAAAGATAGGCTGCCATCCAGTGCATCATCCTTTAGCCTGAGTATGAATCTCTGGAAGAGATTGCATAAAAGAGGGAAAATTTGCATAACTTCAACTGCCAAACTTGCCCAACCAGATGACAAAACATAAGTTGTGAAGAAGGTAGCCTGCATACCATGAAAATGCCACAGTAAAGTGAATCGCTAATCACAGAAGAGATACTATTTATCTATTCTAAAAATATGTAAAAAAGGGAATCAAGTTAAGAGGAGTGTTCATTGTCCAGTGTTGCTCAAATCTCTAATACATTCAAGTACATGCAATCATTTCAACTGGGAATCTAGATATATCACCTGCGCTGGCACGGCCTTGGCAAGTTGGCCAGGCAGGTCTGTTACACTAGAAAAGACTGAGAGTTGACTGATAACGGAACCAGCAAAGACATTAACAAAAAACACATTCCAGATTGTGAAGTACAAGACTTTGCAACATGCACTCTTCTTCCTTCCACTACGGGAAATAGAACCCTCCACTGCTGAAAATAGCATCATTACGGGTGGAACTGCACACAAGAATAAAACCAATATCACGCTTGGTAGGTAGCCAGTCACCACCCGATTCACATATTTACTGCACACACAAAAAAGTCAAATTGAAGTGAACTGTATAACATTGTAATATTCAAAAATACCTACCTAACATTCCGTATTCCATGTCTGAGTCTTCAAAATATTAGTTTATTATAATCTCAATTTTAACAAGACAATGTGACGTATATAAATACAAAATTTTAGCATTGCTAATTTGAGAAATAATACACTAAAAATAGGCATAGTAAAAGGACAAACAATGAGCAATATCAACTAGAGTGTGAATACTGACACCATCACTGTAAACAACCAGCAGACAAGGCAATAACTTAAATCTTAATAAAATGTCAGAGATATAAGCTTTGGAGAATTCCAAATAAGGAATTCTTTGAAAAAAATATTTTGAGTTCAGGAAAAATTAACCACTCGAGTAGTTATTTAAGTCGACAAGTGGTTACTCGTGAACCACTCTTTCAACATAGTTAACTAGTTGAATGGTTAATTGTTCCTAAACTAAAAGTATTTTTATCAATTTCTTTTTTATAATTTTCCCTAAAACCTTCATTGCTAATTAAAAATAAAATAATGTTCTATATTCATCAGGTATATTAAGCACCTATTTGCATATTTAAATGAAGCTTCGCATACAATTTATCATGCATAATTCTTTCTTCCAAAATCCTAATCCATGTATATTGCCAAAAAAATGAGCCATGCCAAGAAAATAAAAGTCCATGACATTCGTCCCTCATAGATGCAGAAACATCTTACTTTTTTAATATCCCTGTCAGAAAAGGGAACATTTTCTGAAGCTTGTCTAGTTGAGTCAAGCCTTGTACAAATGTGACGGGGATAAGGAATACAAGCATGAAGGCAACAGAAGCCACAAGTGTAGCTATCTTACGGATCCAAAGTTGCCTATATGGTATGCAAATATTGGACCAGTAAACATCATGTGGTTCAGGAGCTACGTCTGTCACCCACAACATAGGATTTGATGTTTGCAGAATTTGTGCAGCCATAAGGGCAGCATACCGACTTTTAAAGAACACAAAAGCAGCCGCACATTCCTGTATCAGAGATCCAAACTTTAAGCACAAACCAGTGGACATAAAAAAATTTACATCACATAATCTGAACTTCTTTAAATGCTACTATAACTACTATATGACAACAAAAATTGTAATAACCTGGATGTCATTAAGTAATAAATAACGGTAATGATAAGCATACAGAAGAAGAGAACACTAATTATATTGAGACAACATAAAATAGTAAATTGTATCTGTCAATTATAAATATAAGACTAGTGTACAACAAATTATCCCGCTATGACTGCTTCATTTATGGCTAATAGACAAGTAGAAAACATCACACAAATTTTGGATGACCCAAATCAGAGTGCAGGAGGAAATAAAATTTGAGATAAATAGTGAAAGTGATAAACATCAGGTGGTGTTACAATTTGATGCATCAGAGACGATGCTTGAAGCAACTACATATTAGCCCACAGCGGAGGAGGTGCAACATAAGGAAACACCACCATCGCAACAAGACACTATTGCTGCTCGGAGGCAGCACATGCAAATCAAGCCGCCCCAGAGGTATGCTTACGCAGATCTAGTTGCTTATGCTTTGACTATGACAGAATCTTTCAAAGAGGAGGAGCCTTCCATTTGTCGTGCTACCATTATAAGCAAAGAATCTATTAAATGGACTGCTGCTATGACTGAAGAGATCGAGTCTCTTCACAAGAATTAGACATGGGAGCTAGTTAAACCGCCAAAGGGCCAAAAGATTATTGGCTGCAAATCGGTCTTCAAAAGAAAAGTAGAAATTTCTGGAGTTAAAAATGCTAGGTACAAGGCACGTTTGGTAGCAAAAGGCTACAGTCAAAGAGAAAGAGCAGATTTCAATGAAGTCTTCTCACCGGTGTTAAAGTTTTACTTGCATTAGTAGCCTTGTATAATTTAAAGCTTAAAGTCAGTGCAAGTTTAATCAACCTCCATCCAAAAAGTTCTATCTCCATGGATGTTACATTCATGTAAAAGGAGTTCTACTTTGCCAATCCTATCTATAGAAGGAGCATCTACTTAGGGAAGATAAGGAGGAATTTCTATTTGATTTATCCTTCCTCCCATTTGTCTAGTAGCCTTTTTTATGAGAATTCATCTACACAAACAATTCACAACCAATTTTAAACCAATACCTAAACATGTACCAAAAAAATCTCTAGACATAACATATTTTGATATTGAGAATGTGAAGTTTGGTAGAGGCAAGATGTTCACAAAGGGGAAGGTGGTTGTTCCTGAACCAGTGCAAGTCCAAGAGTTCAACCCATAACCTTCAAATGAAATAATAATGTTTAACCCTTCATTACAAAATGAAACTAAAACTTATGTGAAACTGCGAATAATGAAGTTTATAATCTACCCATATCTCTTAGGGAATGCACAAAATGGCCCTTATATCCTCTTTCATAGTTCCTATAATTTGAGATATTCTCACCATCCTATACAATCTTTCTTATAAGCCTAAACACTATCATCATCCCCAAATACCCAGTACGAGGCTCTGTCCAATGAAAAATAGAAAAAGGCCATGAATGTGCAAATGGAGGCATTGGAAAAGAAAATAAATTGGGAGTTAGTACAGCTACAAGTGGGGAAGAGAGGTGTAGGCTGCAAATGGGGAACACCGTGAAGTATAAAGCAAATGAATGAATTGAAAGGCATAAGGACAAATTGGTGGCCAAACAATATACAAAGACTTATCGGATTGATTACCAAAAGAGTGAGAGACTTATGCACAGTGCAGAAAGATGGAGGACTGCTGCTAGTACGACGACACAACAGTGGGCAGTAGCAGACAACTGAAAGAAGGTTACTGAAAAGACAACACCATTTAAGAGACAGCAATGACAGTTGCCAGGGAAGACCTATGAAACAACTGGAATGGCGACACGGCAATGGATAATAACGGAGGATAGAGATAAGGTTGCTGGAAATGTGGGATGAAAGAAGTTAACATAGAGCTTCGAAATTTAGGAAACTTATAATGCTGAAGCAATAAACAATTGGCTAAGCAGAAAAAAGAACGAAACAAGAATTGTGAGAAAACATTTTTCTCTTTTCTTAATTTTATTTTAACCAAAAACAACCTAATAATAATAAGATTCTCCAAGCCTTAAATAGGCAAAATTAAAAAACAAAAAAGTAAATAACTACAATCATGCGTGATCAAAGGAGATAACGCACAATCAACGCACACTCAAACATAATCTAAAAATAACAAAAAAAAATAATGAACAATTATTGAAAAGCCCTAAACTATGGAATAATTATAAAAAGCCCAATCCAAATCAGTCACCCAGGTGCATCATCCTCCCCTGCCAAAAGAAGATTAGTCCTCGAATCTAACAGGTCTTCATGGTTACTCTCACACATTATGCCCTCTTCATCGTCATGATAAGGAGACAAGTTAGCAACATTGCAAGTACTAGAAATATTGTATTTCCCAAGAAGTTCAATCTTGTAAGCATTGTTATTGATCTTCCCGAGCACCCTGAATGGACCATTAGCCAAAAAATGTTCTTTCCTAAGGTGGATCCATACCATATCGCCTTCCTTGAAAATGGCTTGATTTCTATGCCTGTCAACTTGCAATTTATATTTCACATTCTGCTTCTGAATATGATCATGAGCCCGTGAATGTAACTTCTTTTGCTCCTTAGTGCTCATCCTATATGTAGCTTTGTTAGGACTAATAGCTCCTGGCCTGGCACAAGGTCAATACAGTACTGGATGTCTATCATAGGTGGAAGTTCCGATTGCATCTCCTCAGGAACCACATCAACGAAGTCCTGTAGCAATGGCTTAACCTGCAAAGGAATGTCAGAAACACTAGAATTTTGTTCTATCACCACACAAGCAAATATCTCAATGGCATTGGTAGATTCCTCTTGGGAACCTACTGGACAACATAGTGTTCTTCGTCTCCTTCAATTTAGATGGACCCAAGGTAATAGTTAGTTTGTCCTTCTTGAAAGTGTAAGTATTTTTGAATCCATCGTGCTTTGTCTTCCTATCAAATTGGCATGGCCTCCCCAACAAGATATGACACACATCTATCGGAATCACATCGTACCATACCTCATCAATGTACCTTTTGCAGATAGAAAACTGCATGAGACACATCTTGTTCACCTTCACCTCACTTCCTTTCTTCAGCCAAGCAAGCTTGTATGGTTGTAGGTGTTCCTCCGTTTTCAATCCTAGCTTCACAACCATGGTATTAGAGACTACATTCTCGCAGCTCCCTCCATCAATGATCATATTACACACCTTACCGCCGCTGGTGCACTTGGTGCAGAATATATTGTGTCGAAGCCACAACTCATCATCAATGATGTCAACATTCAACACCCTTCGGACAACCAAGGCTTCGCCTGAATCACCAAAAATAATCTCACCTTCTTCAGACCTTCCATCCACCTCATGTTCTTCATACTCATCATAGGTGGGGCCTATATCATCGGCTTGAGTATCGACAAGAGTAACATACTGCCGGTTTGGACAATCAGCAGCAAAGTGTCCTAAACCCTGATACTTGAAACACCTCTTTGCCGTAGTAAAATTTGGGTTGGAATTTTGAAGTATTTCCTCTTCTCTTACACTGCTCTTCTACCTTCAAAGCTAGTCGACATACAATATTGTTGTAGGTAAACAACATCTGAGATCTCATTCCGCAGTCCTCCTAGGTAATGAGCAACCAGTTGTTCGTCCTCCTCTGCGATATCACAGTGCATCCGCAGACGATCAAACTCAGTTGTATACTGTTCAACTGATAGGTTTCGCTGCTTGAGATTATGATATTCAATAAATGCCTCATGCCGGTAGCGAATAGGTAAGAATTTTTGTTGCAACAGTTTCTTCATCTTATCCCAACTCCTGATCTTCGACTTCACTTCTTCGTTCCGCTGCTTCTTAATATGTTCCCACCAATTGAGGCATGCTTCCTCAGTTTGATAGCGACCAGTTTGACCTTCTGGTCTTCTGTCAAGTCTCTGATATCAAAGACTCTTTCGACAGTGTGTAACCAGTCAATAAACTCATCTGGATGAGTTGTGCCCTCGAATTTCGATATCTCAATCTTCACCCCAATATTAGCAAAAAATGATTGATTTCCAGGTTGATTTCATCCTCGCCGCTCCTGGTTCCAATTCCATAATGGGTTTTCGCTCTTTTCTTCCTCATGAGATGATCTTTCAGATTCTCTTCTTTCATCTGACTCGCCAACTGTGTTTGGACAAATGGTTGTTCTAGCTCCTGAATTCGTCTACCTTGTTCTGCCATTGTAGCGGCCATTGCTACAATTGTGGTGTCTCGCGCGTCGATATGTGGTTGTTCGTCGTCGCCGTTAAGGGTGTTGCCACGCCCTCTACCACAGTCGTTGCCTCGACCCTGTCGTTCACGACCTCGACCACCATTGTTCTTTTCAGCCATTTATGTGACAACCAGAGCTCTGATTACCAAATAATGCCGAAGCAGTAACCAATTGACTAAACAGAAAGAAGAACGAAACAAGAATTTACTTTTTTCTTAATTTTATTTAACCAAAAACAACCTAATAATAATAGGGTTCTCCAAGTTCAAGCCTTAAATAGGAGAAATAAAATAACAAAAAAGTAAATAACTATAATCATGCGCAATCAAAGAAGATAACGCACAATCAACGCACATTCAAATATAATCTAAAAATAACAAAAAGGGAAATAATTAATAATTATTGAAAAGCCCTAAACTATGGAATAATTATAGAAAAGCCCAATCCAATTTATACTAAATATGGAACTCCACAAATAAGGAAATAAGGAACCTACTTCTGAGAGATCATATACGATACTCTAAACTACTTGTTAAAGTCTTATACAAAATTTTCTAGATATTCTAAAAAAAAATGGAGGGTGGTATTTGAAACCTATACCGATGCAGACTATGATGGATCACCAAGTAATAGAGGATCAACTATGAGGTACTATACTTGGGGGAAATCTGGTGACTTGAAGAAGAAAAAATAGAATGTGGTGACAAAATTTGATGAAGAGACAGTTTAAAGCAATGACTCAAAGTGTGAACTACTGTGTCAAGGTTGACTGTTTATAAATCTAGCCTATTTATGTATTGGTATTACCATCAATAATACAAATACATTATGCAAATCCTGAGAATTTGAAAAGCTTAAGCCATTAGGAGCCGGTCCAAGAATGATTTTTATATCTCTAAAGGACCTAAAAGTTACTTTGAGGATTTGACAAACTTCTATAGGGAATTAATTTAAACTAAATTTCCCCCGGCTAACAATGGGTACAGGACAAGACACTGTACCAGAGAAAGAATAATTGTGTCACCAAAAAGCAAACAGAAAAATGCAGAAAAAATTGATTACATTCAGAAAATGAAATTTATGTTGAAAGATTGTTTGTTTGTTTTTTTCCAATCAGCGACAATTTCAATTGAACCTGATTCTTGATCACATAGTAAATTTCTAAACACACTAGTTCAATGCAAATCATAAAAAGGAAAGTTCACATGATGTCAAAATTATTTAAACCAATCCAGCCATAAAAATTACCTTGTCTCTTGTATCTAAATGCATGTCAGTGTAGCCTGTTCTCCCATGTATACTATCTATCTCATCAGAAATCATCTTAAAAGAATTTGTAGGTGTTCCAGAACAGCAACATTGCATAAAACATGGCTTACAACCCTTTTCTATTGAGGCATCTCTAAGTACCTTACACATATGTCCTGCATCATCCTGGGCGAAGAAAATTAATATAAATAAAAGTGTAAGTAGCTGTTTGTCAACAAGACTACAATAGGTTTATATTAATTTTTAAAAGAAAACCTCTAAACATTATAAAAGAAATCAGGAAAATATATAGACCTGAACCTCTGAAATCATAATCAAAGCCCAATCCAGTGGAGTGGGGTTAGTCACTTTAGATAGAATATATAGAACAGTCTGCAATGTACCTTCTCCAAATTCATTAAATGGAGAATGACTCCATAGATATTTAGAAATTCTTCAGATATCATACCATTACCCAGGAAATGAAAATTAACACAGATGGACCAGAAAATTATATTAAAGTAAAATATGAAGACAAGCTCATCAACAGCAATAAAGAAACATATAAATGGTAATCCTAATGCAGAAAAAACTAATACATGAAACTGAGAAAATTCTGTAGAAAAGAAACATGGAAAAACACTCCCAGCTCCCTCCAAGATCAACAACCCAGACCTTAGAGTTCCCCAAATCCCACTCCAAGTTAGCTCAATTCATGTGTGCTTCCCCATTTTCCTTTCCTGCTATATAATCACCTTCTATCATAACAACCTTCCTAAATCTTCTTTCCACGTTTCCACCATTATTCCCTCACCATTAATAGCTTGCCACATGGCTTCCCCAATAACTAGTTTTCCTCCTTCATTCTCTATCACCATCATCTTATTATTCTCAACTTCCACTTGGGCTCTCTTCTTTGGCCCCAACGTTGATAACAAGATACAAAAGCCCATCAATATCATTTATTGACAAATCTACACGGTCTTAGAGCTCCTGAATGGTTTCTCGAAGCTGATGAAAGGAATTCTCAACTCCACTCATCCCTTCTTCCAATAGGTTAGTGCGCCTATCGATTTTCTTCAATTTGTTTTCATTTTTTTTTTGTAACGAGCACAAGCTATGAAGCACCAACACTTCAAAAACCCTGACGTGTCGTGTCCGACACTCCCCGACACTCCAACACGCGTTGTAGAGACTCAAAAAAAGGTTCAAAGGGTGTGTTGCGTTGCATTTATAGTTCCAACTATTAGATTCGTTGGATTACGATTACCATTTTATTGAGTTTAATATAAATATTTAGGATATCTTATGTTTCTTAGCAAAATTGATGACTATTATAAGTTTAGCTTCATTTTTTGTTAAATTATTAAATATTAAATATAATATACACTACATAAATTAAAGAGTAAATACCCTTTTTGGTCCCTGGCAATATCTACGAAATCCTTTTTAGTCCCTGGCAATAAAAAAGGACCAAATTGGTCCCTAAAATTGAAAAAAGGGCCACGTTAGTCCTTATGTCAACTCCTCCGTCACTAACGTGGCCCTTTTTACATACTGTTAGGTACCAATTTGGTCCTTTTTTATTGCCAGGGACTAAAAAGGATTTCGTAGATATTGCCAGGGACCAAAAAGGGTGTTTACTCTAAATTAAAAATATTATTTAATATCAAAACGTGTCCTAACGTGTCAAAATCTAACATTTTTTAGAATTAACTTGTCAGAGTGTCGTGTCGTATCATGTTCCGTGTCGGTAGCGGTGCTACATAGAACAGAAGCACCTTAGGGATCGAAGATTCTCTAATATCAAATTGATAGACCAGAACATTATATTAAAGTAAAATATGAAGACAAGCTCATTCAACAGCAATACAGAAACATAAATTTTATCCTAATGCAGAAAAAACGAATACATGATATTGAGAAAATTCTGCAGAAAAGAAACAAGGAAAACACAAGATCAACAACCCATACTTTAGAGTTCCCCAAATCCCACTCCAAGTTAGCTCAATTCATGCGTGCCTTCTCCCTTTCCCTTTCCTACAATATAACCACCTTCTATCATCACAACCTTCATGAATCTTCTTTCCACATTTCCTCCATTATTCCCTCACACCATTTATAGCTTGCAATGTGGCTTCCCCAATAACTAATTTTCCTCCTTCATTATCTTCCACCATCAGCTAATTATTCTTAACTTCCTCTTGGGCTCTCTTCTTTGGCCCCCAACGTAACATTAATAACAAGACACAAAGGCCCATCAAGATCAACAACCCATACCTTAGAGTTCACCAAATCCTACTCCAAGTTAGCTCAATTCATAAGTGTCTTCCCCCTTTTTATTTCCCTATATAACCATTTTTCATCATGCCAACCTTTCTAAATCTTCTTTCCATGTTTCCCTCACCAGTCATAGCTTGCCACGTGGCTTCCCCAATAATTAATTTTCCTTTTATTCTCTTTCATCATCAGCTTATTATTCTCAACTTCGTCTTAGGCTCTCTACTTTGGCCCTCCAATGAAACGTTAATAACAAGACACAAAGGCCCATCAATACTCCCCTTCCAAAATTCACCTTGTCCTCAAGGTAAAGGAAGAGATCAAGATTTTTGCCACAAACTTCCACCCGGATCTCATTGCTAGAAGCATCTTGATCACATTGACAGCTTCAATTCCATCTTCTTTTCATGAACCTCACCCCCTCAACTCCAACAATTAGCTGGAAAAGAGACCCAAAATACTGTGGACGTTCAACCAAAAAGTCTCTTCATTCTCTATGCCTTCACTGTTGCAAAGTTGTCTTTCTCCTTCCAGCTTAAGTTCACTAGTACCCACCAACCTGACGTGGATGTGTTGGCTATGGCAAACCTGGTTTGGGGAAGGAGCATCACTTTTAAAGTATAAATTTCTACGCATCTTGTCATTAAGCTCCTCGGTAATAGACACCTGAACCTCAATCCTCTCCCTCCGTCTCTGTTGACCACCGTCGCACCTCCATTATTTGAGGCCACCCATTCTATGTGTTGCCCCTCATTAGAGTCGTTTTCCACATTATAATCTGTCCCAATCTAGTTTAAGGTTCCTGGGCTAGATACATCCGGATCCGGCCCATTTCTCGTCTTAACATCCTTAAAATTGGGCCTCATTTCATTGCTGGTATTAGCCCAAATCGTAATGGCTGGGAAAGTATGGTGCCCACCCATGGATCCAGTCATATTTTTGCTCCGCCCAATTAACAACTCGACGCGATCTCTAATCTTCTCCCTCTCTTCGACCTTATGGACTATACCCAGATCAGACAGGTCATGGAGACACAACTTAATTGTTCTTGACATCCCTTCTCCTCTTTCTTCTTCTTCCTCTTGATCTTCTTCATCTTTAGCTTCTTTGTTTCCTTATGCTCTTCGTTCGCTTCTTTATTTTTTCTTCTTCTACTGTTTCTTTGATTTGCGGTGCTTGGGTCATTGTACATCTCAAATCAGCAAACATGTGAAGGCAGATCTCTGCTTTGATTTTCCCTCTCAAAACCTTGAGCTCTACTCTCCTCTTTATCTCTTTTTCACATGGATTAGATTCATTTCTTGATGGATCTACATGGTCTAAGAACTCCCGAATGGTTTCTCGAAGTTGACGAAAAAAATTCTCAACTCCACTCATCTTTTCTTCCAATAGCTCAATGCGTCTTTCAACTGTAAAGAACCAATTCAACCCAAAAGCTTAAGCTGTTGGGTGAGGCTAAATTAATGGTTTTATATATCTCAAAACGCCCCCTCACACGAGAGCCAATTGGGCTTGAAGGGTGGACAATGTACAGACCCACCTACCTGTGCTAAGAAATTCCACAAGAGAAAGTTGGGGGCGGTGGATCGAACCCGGGACACAAGACTCTAATACCATGTAAAGAACCAATTCAACCCAAAAGCTTAAGCTGTTGAGTGAGGCTAAATTAATGGTTTTATATATCTCAACATTAACTTTCTTCAAAATTGATGGACCAGAAAATTATATTAAAGTAAAATATAAAGATAAGCTCATTCAACAAAATACGTAAACAAATAAATGGTAATCCTAATGCAAGAAAATACATGATATTGAGAAAATTCTGTAGAAAAGAAACAAGGAAAAAAACTCCCAGCTGCCTCCAAGATCAACAACCCAGACCTTAGAGTTCCCCAAATCTCACTCCATGTTAGCTCAATTCATGCGTGTTTTCCCCCTTTCCTGCTATATAACCACTTTCTATCATCACAACCTTCCTGAATCTTCTTTCCACGTTTCCCCCATTATTCCCTCACCATTCATAGCTTGCCATGTGGTTTCCCCATAACTAATTTTCCTCCTTCATTCTCTTTCATCATCAGCTTATTATTCTCAACTTCCTCTTGGGCTCTCAACGTAACGTTAATAACAAGACACAAAGGCCCATCAACACACACCTCAGTTCCATGCATAAGAAAGTTTACTATTTTTTCCTATCGCATGAAAATCTTTGATACAGTGGTCAAAAGGAAGTAAGAATCCTTTTGCCATCTAAAAAAGCCCAACAAAATGCGAAGTCAGGCATATGTGTCAAGAATGAGAAAGGAACTTCCATTTCAAATAAAGAGAATTCCTATGATCTGCAAGCTCACTTCAGAGAATGAGATGCAATACCATACCAAATCACCTAATAAAGTGCAAAGAATGTGAGTCAGAGAATGAAAGAAATGTAGATACCCCATTTCCATGATAAGCCTTCATATTGGTTCTATATAACTTGAACCAAATAATTGCCTTAGAAGGTCTATTAAAAAACACACATTGACAGTTATGACTACACTAAGTGATGATGACATAAACAACAAACTTTACACAAATATAAAATTGGAAAAAAGAAAAACAGTATGCTGCTGAAATGAGAATAAAAGATATTTACAGAAGTTCAGAAACACACCTTCAGTTTCTGAACTGTTCCAGACTTATAAATCATTTGGTGTGACAAATATGTTGATGCATGGTAATATGAGAAGAAATTTTTCACTGTGTCACAGTATGATTCTTCTGAAGATCGGGGAATTGATCGGACAAGAATTGTAAAATGACTTGGATTTGGAGGTGAGCCAATAATATGCAGTAGCCTCAACTTAGTAATGCTCTTATATTCCTGAACATAAACACCACTGATTAGCCATATTTGAGAATTGGAGAAGAAAACTAAAAAGAAACTTGTTAGGTCATTCAATAAAAACTGGTACAGAAGTCTATTGTAGATAAACTCAGCTACTTACAAAGTAAAGAAGAGTACAAGCTGCAATTGTTATGATGTATAATGCAAGACAATGAGCCCAAAGCCTGACATGCAAAAAATAAAAACAACATAAGTAACCAGTTTGGAGGTGTATTCCTGAATAAAATCATCAATTATTACTTCGTTAACTACTTAAAATGAAAATGATAATAATAATAACAATAAATAAAGGAAAATGACTAAGGCCTATAGAAATTCCAGTTTCACAATTTCTTCTGCACACTTCTTGTTTTGTTTGGATAAAAAGATCTGCACAAATGAACACTCCAATAAAAAAAAATTGAGTAGTTTACTCAGCCCTGAGGAAGAAAAGAAATGGAGGCATGAACAAGACAAAGCAGATACACATTTTTCTTTGAGAGCATTGTTCATTCCTGAGTATGAAACTTCAAGAAACCTTATATACTCTATTATATTTCTCAGCTTGTACGCACTATTGGCTATCCTAACTAAATTAACATAATTAGCACTTCCATAGAAAAATAAGATATAACTCGTACCACTTTGAACCTTCTTCGACATTCTCGATGGTAAAAACATCCAGTGACTCGAAAGGTATATTCTTATGCATTCCTTCTTTACCATAGTAATTCACCGGAAGCACTAGAACAGTGCAGATGACAGAAGCAATGGAAAACACTCGAATACTGAACGAGACAGAAGTAAAATTAAGAGTTAGTAAAGCCACAACATCTTAAATTCCTTTAGACTTATTTAGTTTTTTTATTTGATATGCTTTTAAATGTATGATGAACAACTTGTTTTGATTTGGATAACAAAAAATGGCGAAGCAAAGGACTTCTCAATTTGGTTTTTGATGTATAAATGGTTAAGCAAAGAACTTCTAATGCATGCAGAAAACCATCATTATGGGTGATAAATAATTAGCTGCATATTTTGTCATTTTATAAGGATCATACCATGGAATTTAATTACATTAGATTTTAAGTACTTGCACCGTCCAACACCATAAATATGCAATCAAGGATGACACTTAGATGAATATTCTATTTCCTAACCAACTTTAATGTTTAGCTTCCCTTTAACCCAGAGGCTCAAAAGAGTGACTTTCATGTGAAATTGTTAGTGAAACAAGGTAAAATCAATTACAAAATGATAAAATTGTTGTGCAACACAGTTTGTGCAACAGTTAGTGTGTTAATTAATATTGATAAGAGGGGTCTGTATGGAGTATAATGCAGGTGAAATGTTATCAAGTGCATCTAGAGAGTAGAATTGAAAATGAAAATAAATAAATAAATAAAAAACTCAGTAGAATGAAGATAATAACGTCTTCATTTCAGCTTATCTAGGTATCATAAATCTTGAGTTTGACTCCGTAGGTTAGCAGCATCTTTCAAATTTCAGATTAAAATTTTATGAGATAAGAAAGCAATTCACTCTTCTAGTGCAATGCTCACCAAGATAACATAAGGCACACAGTTAAAACTATTCAAACTTTAGAAGGAATGAACAACCTGAACACAAGTACCCTAACAAATACAACAGCATCCAAGCCACCAATAGCCAGTATATCATCCTCCGACGTTTCCCATGCTTTCAATATCCAGCCAGGGGAGGGAACAAATCTTTCCAAACAGAGATTAATGCGTCTTGATCGCTGAGAGGCTAGTCTCCGTCCAAAGTACACATTAACATTGCCGGGTTGTTTCCTTAATATTGAATAAAATGAAAAGAGCACCACACACAGAGCAATATTAATTCCAGCAGAAGTTAAAAGAGCAGCAATGTCCATCCCTACTCGCTGTACTGGAAAACTTGACACATCTCATCACCCAAGAAGAAAGACATTAGAAATCCAAATCATGCCCATTGCCTGAAAAAGTACATATTCAAACCAATGTCTCAGAAAGAAATAGATTTCTTTGGACAAATACAGGAATACAACATTGAAAGATCTTTTTCTTTCTTTGGTTAAGGTGCAGTGGGTGTCTGTCTTTAACTATGATATTTTTTACTGGGAAACAGTAGGCAACAGTACAGAGACACAAAGGATTGAATTGAAAAAAGCATGATTATTCACTTGAAAGTTATAACTGACAGGCACACTGCTTAGAGCTAAAGGAAGTGAAGTTTAAAGAACTGTAAGCAAGAATCATTTACTTTCACATTCTATAGTCATGAAGACACATGCCTAATCTCATACTCTGTATAAAAAAGTATTCCAACATTATGGAACAGTCCACTATGCAACTTGTTCTGGAGAGAAGCTTTCAAAAAAAAAAAACATTGGGTCAACCACATTCTAAGTCCATAACCCAATTCAGCTGCAAGTTCTTGAGGATTTGATAAGGGCACCTCGCACAAGTATGCAAAGCTACTTTGCATCAAGTTTCATAAACTTCTTAACGCCCTTTTCCAGGTAACCAACAAAAAGCCACTTAAAGGTTGAGTTTGTAATCACTAAAAGTTGGGATCCATATTATTTGAATGGAACTGAATTAATTTAAAAATCAATTTTCATGTTTGGAATTCAATTTTAAAAAAACGGTATTTGATTATTTGAATTGACTTACAAATGGAATTCCGTGTTCAGAAAACATTAAAGATGAGTTGAACAGATCTTATATTAGTAATTTACTTTATTATCCTTACTTACAATAAGTACAAGATTTAACAAAAGAAGGGGAAAAAAGCCAATTCAAACAATTCAAACTAAAATAAGATCAATTGACAAAATATTTTACTCCAAACACACTCAAAAAGTTCAATTTTATTGATTAATAAATCCAATATTGAATTTGAAAAAACATACTTAGTTTCCATGCCGGAGGAGTTAAAACTGGCAGTGTATACATAACTAAAAGGTAGGATTCGGAAGCCAATAAACAAAAGGAGTAAAAGCAGTTCAGCAAATCACTATCACTAACAAGTAAAATTGAATAAACATGTATTTCCTTACGTAACGCCAGTCAAACCAAGAATCGATTCACATACATCACCAAAACAGATCCAAACTAACACAGCTTTTAGAACCAGCCATTTCCTTCCGTGACGCTAGTTAAATCAAACACACACACACAAATTCCGTCTCAAGAGTTGCACAACAAAATTCCGTAGAAAAAAAAATGATTAACTGAATGAAAGAACCTATAAAATAGACAAAACCAAAACGATTCTAAAAGAAATTAATAATCCAAATCCGAAGATGAAAAGAGCGAGAAAGCAAAATGTACCGGCACACGGATGAACAAATCGTCGACGAAGATTAATTAGCCAAACAGTGAGTGGTAGAAGATTCGAGAAAATGCTGAATGAAATAGTAAACGAAGCAGGTGAGGCTTGAAAGTTAAAACTCGCAGGGCATTGCGCGTGCGTTGCTTCTACTTCACACGAACGTACGTTTAAGCAAAAGATTGATTCCTCGGCAATAAACAAAAATCGAAACCCTAAGTTATAGGCTTTTTTTTTTTTTTTAAATCTCTTTCTGTCTCTTTACAGTTCGCCGAAAATGAATCTAAAACAGGAAATCTCAGCAAATTAGTAACAGAGCATTATTGCCTTATCTCTCTCTCTCTCTCTCTCTCTCTCTCTCTCTCTCTTGTTTCTTAGCAGCCAGCGAATATGCAATTAGCTAAGCGGGGTCGTACATAATTCACAGAAAAGCCACGTTATTAAAAACAATAATTCAAACATTAATGATTGATTTGGGGTTTGAAAGAAATAGCGGGAGTAACGGATTCTCCACGTGGCAGACACCGAGGGCGCCAACCGCAAGTGTGTGATGGCGATCGAAACCGCCCAAACTGGCCACGATATCTTTCGTGATACGCTGCGTCGCGAACCATGACGCAACGCTACACGATCACATTGCCAAGTGGCTGATAATGACGCCACCGGCTCCTTTCTGCTGTCATTTGTTAAGAACCGTGTGCCGACTTGTTGCGTAGGAATTTTACGCGAGACGTCGTCGTTGTGGGTTCGGAACACGTTTTGCTCGCTTGATATGCGCCACAACGCTTTCTGCATTGGTGGACCCACCGAAAGTGGGCTTTCGTGTTCGTTTAGAATTCTCTTTAATTCCCCCACCTTTATTATTAATTGTCATTTCATGAGAAAAAGATTTAACAAAAATCATGGAACACAATATTTCCAATTTTATCGGATGTCCTCGAAGGGACTCGAACACAATATTTGATAGAAAGAAACATTGGAGGAGATAATACTTGAATGGATTTGAGGACACTTGCAATATGTTGTCTATTTATTTGACATCATTTTTATATGGAGTGGTTGTAAAACAAAACCTATATATTTTGTCAGTTCTTTGAGCAATATCCTTTTATTGGGTGGTCGGATGGTTGAAAATATAGCCAGATATGGAACTATCATTTTTCTATTATGTTATTGTTAAAGTCCTACCCATACATCTCAAATGGGCTAAAATTTTTATGCCCAATACTACACTCTAGTTTGATTAGTCAATATAATCAACCAACGATAATATGACCTTTGGTAGAATATAATCAACTGCTACACCACCTGTACCACTTAAAAGCAATAAGGTCAAGTGATGAATGTGAATGGGAATGGGAGTAACAGTCCGAATGAAACGTGTGGAATTAAAAGTGGTATCCGAGGGAATGCTATATATATTTTTTCCAAGTAAAGCTGCTCTTTCCGACATTATTTTTTCATTTCATGATTTGAATTTGAGAGACAAAACTCCACTTCATCCAATGATTGTTGGTTACTTTTATATATAACCACCACCAATCATTAAAAAATCATAATACATACCATGCCTTGACCAAAAAATTTAAGTTAAGGAGCTATTTAATAGGTTATTCTCATCTCATTTATTCTAGATGGGGTGATCAATGTAAACTTTATTCTCAAACTTATTTCCAAAACAATGTACATTATGAAATAATAATGAGATATAATTATTTTTTAAACATGTATTTCTCATCTCTAAAATGCTATAAGTAGGGGTGAAATTGAGCTGGCCGGCCTACAGAGGCCTATGGCTCGGCCTCTGTCAGGTCAGACCTAACCTAGTATATTTCGTAAAATAGGTCGGGCTTGGGCCTTGAAAAAACTTGTTTAATAAAAAGGCCGTAGGCCCACTTTCACAAGGTCTGGCCTATAAGCCTACAGGACGGCCATGTACTATTTATTTTAAATAAAATAGAATAAATATGCCTTCAAGAAAAAACAAAAGATATAAATTTAATCAATTGCAATTATTTATAACTTAATTATATTCAATTATATTTTAATAGAAATCTGATTTTATTTCTTATATAGAAGGAACTCACATCTCATCATATTAGATTGTGTATATGAAGCACCACTAGGGATAGCCTAGTGGTGTTGGGTGTGTTTAGTGTGTATTAGGTGTGCGGTTCGATTCCCTGTAATGTCCAAAAAAAAAAATTTGTGTATATGAATATATTAAAAGGTTTTTGGGAGAGGTTATACTTACTACAAGCATCGTGATGTGTTTGTTGGATTCATGTAGTTATTTTAATTTACATAGTATGAATTTGTTTGTTGGATATGATGAAATATATGTTATTTAGTTTGAGCATTTTGCTTTTGAAAGTGACTTAATTACATATTGTATGAGTTTTGTTGTTATTCATGATTCTGTTTGGACGTTGAAATTTTGATTTTTGATTTATTTGAGTATTTTGTAAAGTTGATTCATGGTTCTGCTTGGAAGTTAAAAATTAACAGGCTAACAGGCTAGGCCAGGCCATTTGTTTTTTTATAATCGGGTCAAGCCAAGCTAACAGTTAGACTCGTATTAGGCTTGGGCCCAGCCCAGCCCAGCCCACTTTCACCCCTAGCTATAAGTAAAAATGATATTTGTTTTGGGTATAACCCTGGATTCCGTCAGTGGGCTCATGCCCAAGCCAGACTTCTCACCTAGAGAAGGCTTCTCCAGCTAGGGCTTAAATTCGTCAGCCTGGGTTGTGGGTCTATGCCTACGATCCTCCCTCCAACACTTGATACCCACAATCACCCTTTGGGAAATCCGCTCTTAGGCCATGACTCCCACGATAACTGCTTCCTTAGACCTATATACATACATGTACAGTACCTAAGGGGTGGCCACTTCAAACACAACTTATCCAAGCCTTCGAGCTCTCACCATTAATTCCCAAATATCACACACACACCCCTTGTTATTATACCATCGGACTTTGACTGGAGGTACTGGACCATCGTTTCCAGTTATCTCTTCCACTTGCTCCGTAGATACAATTACCAGCACCCTTGCTAGTGGTGTTCACCTTTGAACAATATTAATAATGACAAGAAAGAAAAGCTCATGATATGAAAGAAGATGAGGTTGAAGTTGAGGATGATAGTCATTAGGATTCACAAATAATCCAAAAAAAGCAAACACATTCATAATAATCACTTTTAGAGAGGAATTTACATATATGGTTGGACTATCTTCCTCTCTAAGACCTATTTTGAAAATAGCAACCGTTATATGATGGGAGCATGATCACTTATAGGGTCTAACCCTACTATACTATTTCATGCAGCCTTCTTATTCCAAGATAGTATAATCCATCAACATTATGCCAAAAGAAGTATGAGCAAAAGAAAATTGTGCAACCACATTATCACCTTTTATTCTCTTCTTTTCTTCCCATCTAAAAGAGATACACAATTGTATTATTTTTCGCCCACAAAGCAAGGATGGAAGAAAAAATGGGAACAGTGACCAATGTACCACACATTGGTCAATTTTTTACCATCATGCCATACGAATAGTAAAATTTCCCAAAATGTCACGCATACCAAGTTCACTATATCAAGTAGCGAATTACGTTTGCTGAAGTAGCATCTTTTGGTGGCCACCTAGTTTGCTACTTCCAGTAGCGAACTAGGTGGTAATTAATGCCACTCTGCTCTGAGCATTTGTCCGGCCACATGGCAGGCACAACAAAGTTTGCTACATGGGCCAACGAACTAGGTGCAACGGTAAAAAAAAATAGTCATGGGCCACGTGTTTGACGTGGACAAGTTCGCTACTCAGGATAGCGAACTAAGTCCAACGAATACCCACCTTAGCCCTGCTTATATAAACCCCCCCCCCCCAACTCCCTACTTTCTTTCTCACTCTCTTAATACATAATTCTCTTTGAAACAATTTAATAATTTTTCTTTCTTAACATCAAGGTTTGTGTTTTGTATTTAATAATTTAATTTTTTGATATTACTTATTTTAATAGTTGAAACCTTAGGTGAGAAGATATGTTATTTTTTTTAAACTATAGGATAGAATCAATGTATATTAATGTTGTTATATTTCTTTGTATAGGTATTAATATATAGGATAGTTGATGTATTATTTTATATTTTTTATTGAAATTTATAAATGCATTTTTATTATGTTTTATATAATTTATTTTAATATTATTTATTTTAGGACTTTACATCTTAAGTTAGAAGATTTTTTTTCTGAAAATATAGGATACAACCCATGTAGAATTGTTATTATATTAGTGCGTGAATTAATTTTTATGTTAAAAATAAAATTTTGAATTATGTTTTATTTTTAATTTTAATAATTTTGATTTTAGGTCTCGAAACCTTAGGTTAGAGGACATATTATTTTTATTTTTTTGTTCCCTTATGATAGGGCCCACATGTTAAATATTGTTATATTAATTTATATAGACATTAATATGTATGATAGTTGGTGAATTTCTTAATTTTAAAATTTAAATTTTTAAATTATGTTTATTATTTTTGATTTTGAGGTCTCGAAACCATAGGTTTTCCTTTCATGCTATTTCTAATGTTTAGGTAAATAATTATAAATCCAATTATTAATATAATGTAATTATTGTTGTGAATAGATCCGTGGAGCATGATGACCCCCTACGTCCTGATTCTCCGCGGAATGTGATAGACACAGCACCCTCCGACCATTCTCTCCTAATATTACAGGAGAAACATATATCAACGTATGTTTGGAATACGTTGGAGGATCCCGATGTCCAGGATTGTGTGCTAAATGTTAGACATGCTTCCATACACGATCATCAAGATATACCAGAGGACATCCAGTCGTATCTGATGTAGAATGTGTTAGGAATGTGACTTCCATACTCAAAAGGGGGGTTGAATTGAGTATTACAAGATCTTCGCAAAAGCCCCCTTCTAATTTCTAAATAATCATTTCAAGCAAACTTTGATATCTGGAAAGCTAATCAATACATTCAAATAATCCATAATATATAATATATCACAATTATAGAACTTATTCTAGCACATATAAGATATCAAAGAAGAAATTAAAGTGCTAGAAATAAAGAGTTTAGAGTTTAGAGAATTGCAAACACAATATATCCTGGTTCGGTCACCACCACTTGTGACCTACGTCCAGACTGAAGCCACTCGATCAACCATTTCACTAATGGTCAAGCTTCACGGGTGTTTGACAAACCTTTACAATCTTCCAAGACTTCGGGTTCTTGGATACCTTACAATCTCCAAGTTTACGGGTACTTGGTAACCTTACAATTCACTCCAAATTTACTTAGGTATTTGGCCACCTCTCAAACAATGGGTCTCACAACCCTTTCAATTCAAGAA